CGAGCACTATTTAGCACTATTTATTAGCACTACAACAGAGTGAATGTTGTATGTTTCTGTCCAGTCTCATATAACTTTCTCTTCCCAAATTGGCTTTAGGGAAGCTATGAAGTTGTTAGAAAGGCTTGAACTATACGGCGACTGTGAGAATTAGAGGTACCAAATCTGTAGTTGGCTACAGTTGTTGAAATATTATGTTAAGATCATGTTCAGACAGTCATTTTCTGTTAATTGAGTGATGCTAATTAAGGGTCCATCATTTGCTATAAGCTGCCATGCCTACTTAAATAGTAATTTGTAGCTTACTCCTTAGTTTAATAAGCCATAGATTGAAAGATGAGGTATATTGGACTCAGTATGCTGATGTTTACAGTATTTGCTCTTGTCTTGTTTCCACAGAAATCATGTACTTCTGTACTTACACTTAATATGTTGAGTGCATAAGCGCGTTCACACTGAGAAGTATGGAAAAATGCAGTGCACTACGAGTACCCGGATGGTGCACTCAAAACGGTTAAGAAGTTGAGTGTTGAACTGTGGACACTTCTTGCCCTCAATGGTCGCCATCTTGGCTACGTAGCGGAAGGGGAGCGACCACTTTTCAAACTGGAAATGGCAGCTGTGCGACTGAATACATGTGTTTTTGCACTAAGCACCACTATACTGTTGTCGGGTATAAGCCAACAGTATGTTTATTAGATTAATTTAGTAGTCTGTAATGATTTGGTACCGCAAACGATAACGCAGATGCTAGTTTGCTAACTAGCTAATTTGCGGTCGTCATTTCCGCTGAGTGCACAACGGCTTGAGACAACACTACCCTGTAGAAATTTGCGCACTACACCAATAAGTACATAGTGCACATAGTATACTACATGGAAGTGTACTAACGGAAGTATGTGATTTGAGACACAGCAACACACTCAGAAACAGAAATATCTCTCCCTACCTGTCCTCATCACCAGCTGTGTATCTCAAGCCTACATTGAAGAAGACAAAGCAGTCACCAGAGTGTTCAGCTTTGTGTTCTGACCGACACTCAGTGGCGAGTGTCACATATCCACCAGCCTGAAACAGAGAAGTCTCAGTTATTAAGTAAATAGGCTCAAGTGCAAGTGAAGTCACAAGTCACTGGGGCTAAAGTTCAAGTTGAGTTGCAAATCTCTTTTGATTTTGTCAAATCTGAAGTCATCAAATTTGTAACTCAAACCTGACTGGAGTCCAAGTCATGTGACTCGAGTTCACACTCCTGGCTATCATTATTCGGGAACATTTTTAAATAATATTTTATTACACCTACTTGCTTAATGAATGCACCCTGTATGGAAATAGTCAATCAAATCTTAGAGTTTTTAATTTAACAAATCACTATTGCTTTTAATTTAGTTTAAGAATTGTTACCTTCTGAATGCACAGTTTGCTACTTTCAGGACCTCCCGTGTGTTTCTTTATTGACTCTAGTTGTTTGGACCACCTGTCAAAGGCTGCCAAAGGTGTATGTTTTGCATTTTCCCCTGAGGCTAAGTTCCTGTGAAAGACTCTTCCCATGATGTTTGGTGCCCTTGGCACATTATGTAAAACATTTCCTCATACCCACTGCCAACTTTTGGGAAGCCTTCACCCCTCACCCACTTTGCACACAAGCTTTGTCTTCTACAATGACACCAGGATTAATCTGTTGTCAGATTTGCATGCTGTTGTTGACAGATTTGCAATCCTTTGCTTTCACTTGATTCTGTAGATACCGCCGTCACCCACTGGCTGACAACCATTTTGTGCGTCTCCTAGAAATGAGTAGGATTCACTAGCAGAGAAAATATATTGGAGATGGATGCAAACGGTGAAGTTTATTAGTTGCTCAGTAATGTAATTTGTTGCATCATTTAAACAAAACACCTAACCACTGATCCGCTCATTCTCCTACCAATCTGTCCATCCATCTGGTTAATCCGTCTAATCAGTACAACAATAATTCTCTCAGAAATCCTCCTCGCCCGCCACTGATTCATTGATCAGGCTTTCCGCGAACTGCAGCAACCTTGTCGGCACAGATTTGACCAGAGCGCTTGAAAGAAATTCAAAGGAAACAATTGTTCAGATCCTGTGTAGATGTGTGAAAATCACACCTCAGCCCTGTTGCAGTGCATGTTTAATCATCTCTAAGTCTGACTGCGTTGACAAAGGCACAGAGACGCAATAAAACATTAAAAAAGAAACCAGCACAAAAGCAAACATTTTTGTGGTGTTTTGTTTACCAGGTTTGTGTTTTAGCAACTGCAAAAGGTCATGTCAAACAGGGACAATGCAGGAGAAAAGCTGCAAACACTATAACAACTTTAACTTTTCACTTAGGCAATATGTTCCATTTCCATTACATATCAGGTGCTGTTTGCTGCCTTTGGTTTAAGAGTGTCCTAGAAACATTTCAGTGATGCAAAGGAAGAGTTCCCTCTCTGTCACCTGTGTGACCCTGCAAAGCCAGCGTGTTTGTGTCATGTGTGCGCGAGTGTGTGCAGTTGTTTATTTTGACATGTAGATGTGCAACCAAGACTTCAAAACGCAGGAAGTGGAATTTTAGAGGGGAAACCTCCACCCACTTAGAGGCACACACATGCACGCGCAGACAGACACACACCCAAAGGTATAACTTTGTGCACAAGAAATAATAAACTCCACCACTGTCCCTTCCTGATATGAATGACTCCCTCTTCTCGTTTTTACTAGTTCCTGTCAATTACAGCTGCTCTTTGTCAAACTGCCAGTTGCAATATGAGCCATCATTGTGAAAAGGTCTTTACAATTACCTAAGCAATCGTCTTTCTTTATTCTGAGCTATTTTTAGATTGAGGAGACACCCCAAACCTCATATTTCATTTCGCGCGTGCAGATGTGCAAGTGTATACCTCACCTGCATCACTGGTATCAGATTATTGTCTGACATTTTCACATTCCTCTCTTTCATCAGCACACAAGCCACAGAGGATGAGATCAGGACACATGCATACACCTGCACACATATGCGTGTGACCATATGTAGATATGCAGAGACCAAGTGGCAGATAAACCCGTGCACCGACACAAGAGCATGGGGGGCGCATACATCTTATTTCTTTCCCTTTTGTGGTCGACAGGCTATAAGTTTCTTGTGATACAAAGATAGTAGGAAAAAGTGATGTCACTCACTGGGTGTTTGTGCGCGGTGTAGAGTGTGGGCTCAGATGGGTTGGTCTCTAACCATAGGGCATAACCTTTGACAACCTTAGACATTCACACCCCAAGATCACAAGTGGGACTGAGAGCTGTGCGTGCACTTTGTGCAGGCAAACTCTCGAACATTTTTTTTTCAAGTGCACCTCTCTTGACCTCTTCAGATCATTTTTACACGGTTGTGCAGGAAGGAAAGAAACTCTATCACTTTATCATTGTTCATATTGTGCTTCCTCTTTCACTTTAATAAGGCATCATTATCATTAATATGAATTTTAAGTGTTTCCTCATTCATCAAAGGGTAGGTGGATCATCTTCGTCATCCTCCTGAGAGTTTCTGGTTTTTCCAAGAACAGGACTAATGACAGATTCATGCATTAAACCTTTAATAAGAGTGGATCGGTACCAAAATATTACTATTGATACTACATTTTCACTTTGAAGAGTGATTCTAACTTCGATGGGATCGGTACAAAAAAGGGATTCGTTTCTCTTTTCTTCATCGTACCTATTTGTTTTAAGAGTAAAACTGTCGGTGCAAATAATGTTCTGTTCTTGTGAACACATCTTGTGTGTATCCTGACGAGTTTAATCTGACATGTAAGAGGAGTGATGGCTTAATAAAAGAGATAAAAAGAAACATGAGAAAGAGAACTTGGAGCTGCAGCTGAAAAGAAGCGCAGTGGGAGATGCCTCGGCATCCAGACCCCTGACACAGAGTTCACTGGCAGAAGTTTTTAGTTAGGCTCAGGCAAGAAATATTGACATATATAGTAGTGAAACTAATATTTTAGTCAAATCAGATCTTCAGCATTGGTTAATGTCACATTTTCAAACTGTTATTGGTCACCATTAGCTGTTACTTTAGCACCCTGATTATTTACGTCATAAATAATGACACACTCCTTTACCTCTACATTAAAGTACACAAGCCATTTTAATAATAAAACGTATTGTATCGATATCAGGGATTCTGGCCCTGGATTACTTCCCGTCCAGCATTTGTATGTAGGGCCCATATGGGTTGATTATGGGTTGAAAAATTGGCCCTACATGGGATTTGCCCTCTTGGCTTTGCCCAAGTGGGCTCCACATGGTTATGTTAAGTGGGTATGAGCCCAAAATGGGCATCTTATCTGGGGCTTACTTGGGTAAACCCACCCATGTGGACGATAGGTATGGGGCCAATATGTAACCCATGAACAATCCCACATATGATCAATTTTTCATCCCGTTTACAACTCACGTGGCCCTGCGTACAAATGTTGGTTGGGTTGGTATCATATTGAAACCAAATTTCATGGTCTTGCCCACCCCTACTGTTTTACCACTCAGACCTTAATGACTCTTATCACTGGATTTCCATTCTGTGCTATAGCTACTAATGAAACCTACATTTCTTCCTGCTTTGCCCCTGATGATTTCTTAAAATATATATCGTATATTTGGTCTAATTTTACTTAACTCCTAGTTATTCCAGTATATATGTGTGTAGAAAATACGCTCTGCAAACATTAACTGATTGGAGGTCAGTTTTTCTCTGTCAGACAGGGTGCAAATTGTGAAGCTGGTTTGGTAGATCTGATCCCAGGTCGCATCGGTGCAGCTGCAACCGGAAGTTACGTCAGCAAGAAAAAAATGTTTTTAAAATTTTATTTTAACAACTTCGTTGTTGACCATCAAGCAAAACACACTAATACGAAAAAATAAAAGACTTTTAAAAAGTTTTAATTTAAATTATGTATCACAGAGGTTGAAGAATCGATTGTGTCCTGACAACTGCTGTAATTTCACGCAGCAGCGGCAGCGGCAGCAATGGCAGTCGGGCAGTGAGACACATGCCTCAGCAGTCTGTGAGCCGAAAGCATTTACCCTGAGGCCGAGAGAAGACACATAACCAAAATGTCTCGGCACAGAAATGTTCGAGGTTACAACTACGATGAAGGTAGATAACCTTAGCCAGCTGTTGGTAGCGATTTAAGCGTCACGGCAAGGCCTCAAACCGCTAAACTCGTTAGCCGCTAAGCTAACGTTTCCCTGTTGTTGACTGCAGCATTAACAGCTAACGCTAGCTAATTTAGCTGGCATGATAACGTTGCTGTCGTGTCACTTGGCACCTGGCACAAGATAAATTGCAACGTAATACTGTTGTCTTTTTATATACTCAAGCTTTCAGAGTAACGGTGTAACGTTAGAGCTAAATGGGGTGTGTCTACATTGGTTATGTAGCTACAAGCTAACTAATGTTTATGTCTACTGAAGTTAAAGGCAGCCACTTAGCTAGCTAACTCCAGTGTTTTGAAAGTCATGTTACAAGCTTCTAATACATTGTTGCATATAGACACCTCCTGACTTTATTAATTTACCAGACCGCCCTATTTCTAAATCTTACAGTGAAGTAAGCACAGCAAATGATGTGGCCCCCAATTCACTGTTTGTTATGCACTATTGTTATTGCTGACAAGGCTAAGTGACAGCTGCAACAAAGGGCTCTTTATCTTAACTACAGCTGCATTACATGTGTATGTTTGTGTAAAGTAAGGAAAGAGAGAAACAGTTTAACATTAGTGTGTGTGTGTATATATATATATATATATATATATATAATTTTTTTTTTTTTTTTTTTTTTTTTTTCCAGACTTTGACGACGATGACGTGTATGGACACTCTGTGGATGATGACTACTGCTGCATATCACCAGCAACAGGTTGGTGTCAGTGAATGCAGCATTAAAAGGCATAAAGAATATATATTTGCTTATAGATAGTCTGTGAGAACTTAGTTTCATTTGATTTACTCAGTTAAAGATAACACTAGTAACATACAGGACATTTATGAGTGGAAAACTGCAGTTTTTCTTTGTTTATTTTTATTTTCAGTAAGGGTTTTATGTGACTAAATAACCACTTAAAGGTCCAGTGTGTAGGAGTTAGGGGAATATAATAATGATGGGATATATCAGTATGTTTTTTCAGTGTATGATCAACTGAAAATAAGCATCGTCGCCTTTTCGTCTCCTCAGAATGAGCCTTTGATGACGAGCTGCGATGGAAAGATGCAGATTTTTTAATGTGAAACTCCTTTGTTCAGTGTTTTTTTGTTGTTGTTTTGGCGAGGAGGAGACCCGGGGATAATGTGGCTCCCGCTAGAAACCGCCTGAACTTTATAGGGGGAAAAAAAGGCGTATATACAATAGCAGGTTCTCAGTTAGGGGCCCGTCTGCGAGGAGCCGAATCGCTGCTTGAGGCTGGCTCCAGAAGCCATTCAACCCCTGTAGACCCCCGTGTTAAAATGCCCAACGCTACAGCAGAAATAAATATGTTTGCAGCCTGGAACAAAAACGCATTTGGTCTCTATAGCTAATTTTTTTTTATTGCTTATGACAACTGATGGAGGTTGGATTTTTATACAACTCACTTTAAGTGACAGGCTGTCTGCCAGTAGTGTCCCCACCTTCTCAGTCAGGACCACTCCTTGCTCCTTCTCAACGCCAGCTTCTCATCCAAATATGGTCAGTTATGGCTTCCAAAAACCAAAATGGTGATGGCTTGGGCACTGAACTTGAGGCTTCAAACCAATGGGTGCCGTCTCAGTAGCTACGGCCATTATTTTTACACTATATGTTATTCAGATCCCAGTAAAATGTCCCAGTAAAAAAGTCTGTGACATGCTGAATAGCTTTAGGGAAACCCTGATTTGTAACCTGAAACCTCTTTATTTAGTGTTTTAATCACCTGGTTTGCTTCTTTTGGAGAGGAAGAGACCTCTGCAGGTAATTTGGCTCCTGATAAAAACATCCTGAACAATGAACACTGAAGGAATTCCTAATTGGGAGTTCACGTTTGGCACATGAGAGAAGTTTCAGCTGGTTGCAGTCTGCAGTCCTCACTGCTCCATGCCACTAAATCCTACCCACCTCTCCTTTAAATTATACCTCATTAACCAGACATCATATCTCTTAGTTTGTAACTGGCCAATAAGTAAAGATGTTTGTGGTTTTTACAGCGAATCAGTTCATCTACTCACGTCAAGAGAGGCAAGCACCAAGGGAAGAGCCTTTAGAAGAGGAAGAATATGAAGATGATGTTCCCATGTCCCCGACCGTCAGCCACGACCTCGACCCTCTTGATCAAGGTAATGTTATTAAGATCTTCTGACCTGTACCTTTGATCTTTGTGTTTGAGAATGCTAAAAGTGGTTTATTTTCTTGATCTGTTGTTCTTTGTTTAATCTTTAATTTTTTTCTGCCTCACAAACATAATGTCTGTGTCTGATGTGTGTGTTGTGCTTTATAGCCAAGCTGTATTCCTGTCTGGACCATATGCGCACTGTGCTCGGAGATGCAGTGCCAGATTCAGTCCTGACCCAGGCAGCCATAAGATGCGGATTCGACCCACAGAAGGCCCTGGATGCAGTCCTGTCTGAAGACGCTAAGACGGCCCCAGTTACCAGAAGCACCAATGAAGAGATGGCTCCGGTAGCAAGAGTGGGTCAGGAGAAAGAGCCGCTTCCACAAAGAATAAGACCAGAGGCAGGGAAAGGTACGCCGGGAGCGGATCAAATTATGGTCATTTTATTAGTCAGGAATTTTTCTTGACTGTCGTTACATATTAGAGAATGTTATTGGTAGGGATGCACCGAAATGAAAATTTGTGGCCGAAGCCGAAGCCGAATAATATTAAATGCTTGGCCGAATACTGAGTACCGAATACTGAATATCGTTGTTTAGTTTTTCATTAGTTTTTGCAGATGAACCTCCTCCAGATTAGTGTTGTCACGGTACCAAAATTGGATCCCACTGTATGATACCAATGAAAATATCATGGTTCTGAGTAGTATCACGATACCACAGCGAAAATGAGGCAGATGTGCCTTTTGTCATTTATAAAAAGATAAATCACTTTTCTATAATACATCAATGATATTTCAATGGAATAAATTACTTACTGACTTATTCATACTTCAAAAACAGCATCAATAAGTGATTAACATAGGGAGGATCAAAATAAAATAAATAAATAAAATAAGAATCAACCAGCCACCCTCCTCCCCTGACAGTCCCTTCATAAGTAAAGAACAGTCCCTAAAGTGCAGTGAGGTTTGTGGCCCGTTAACGGCTTGTTTCTCCTCTGACACGTCACATACCTGTGTTTGGCTGGCTCGGCTGTTCAGGTACTTCTGGGCAGTCCACACGCCAAGAAGAGGATATTATTGGAGCCGACTTCTCCGCACCGGTAAGCCGATGGCCGCCGTATTTGACAGGAATACATTACTGTCTGTGTCTGTGACCCCCGTTCAACCCACAATCGGTGGGATTCGCCTTTCATTTCTGCTGCTGGTTGAAATCTGTAGGCTGCTTGCACAGCATGCTGAATGATTTAAGCCTATTTTGCTCGCTCAAAACTATTTTTAGTCGCGAGTGCGGTGACGGATGGATCGCCACACTGCCGACATTTTAATCCGCCTGTCACGGCACGCTGTTTGATAGCGTTATCAAAACCGCGCCGCTATTATTCGGCCTTGCTTTTAACTTATTCCACTGAATATCGAATGTGTGTGGTTTTTTTTTTTGCAATATTCGGCCGAATATATTTGATTACCGAATATTCGGTGCATCCCTAGTTATTGGTGTCATTTGAACATTTTCTCCAGTTATTTGCCAAACACAGCACAGGATCTGAAGAGGCTCTTAGCTTGTATGCAAAATGATTCAGATAGTACACAGTTAGCCAGTTCATAGTATGTGTTATTCTTTCTCATGTTGCTGCTTCCTTTCTGAATGAATGATACTCAGTCACCTGACGAAGCAACGATAATGTTTAAAACAGCGCAGTCACTGTATAAACAATACTCCTGACGTCACAGAGCTGAGTGAAGTTTAGTTTTCATTAGTCAGCATCAGTCATTCCTCACTGCCTGCAGGTACCTCTGGGAGACAGAGGAGAGGCTGTTTGTCTCAGCCGGCAGCTAAGTTTCAAAGAATTTGCCCAATTCTAAGATAAATGGCAAACTATGCTAAAGAGTTAGACTGCATACAGACAGCTTTACTTTTAGCTTGTTTGCTATAGTTTGCTTTTAGCAGAGCTAGCGTGCTGTGCTTGTGTAAAACATAGCTGCAGCGGATGACAGACTCACTTTCTACATGTTAAGGTGTTTATGCTTGTTGAACAGGTGTATTGCTGTAAGAAAGTATTGGTTTTTACTTGCCAAGGTTTTATTGAACTTATTTACAGTACTGATTGCATCTGTTGTCAATCTGATTAATTTTATTTAGTTATTTTCAATTCCTCTTTACCACAGTCTCTCTTTCCTTTCACATTGTGTGCGTGTTTGTTGTTATGATTATGGTAAGGAGTTCAGCCCTGACAGAATGAAAGGCTGCAGCATTATGATAAATTACACCCAGCACAGATAAAATAATAATTTAATTTTAATAATTTAGCCCTCGGGCCCGTTTAATACCAGGTTTCAGTACCCGTCCCGTACTCGTCTATTTGTATCACTTGATTAACAGTTAGAAATAGTTCAGTATAAACAGACATTGCTCGTCAAAATATTTTGCGTCTCCTACATTTTAGCGTTTTTGATTACATCTTGAATAATATTTCCACTCAAATATAACTGAATGGTTATCATATTATAGTGACGTAGTAATTAATATATTTGGCTTTTAGAGTCTAGTCAAGAGCAGACGTCATCAGTTAAAATGACTGTAAATATTTGATATTTATTTCAAACATGCAAAAAGACATGAACATACAAACAAGCAGACAGATTGAAAGTACTATTTACATATAATGGAAAGCAAATGTTAGTGTGTTGTTACTTAAATTTACGCATTCAAAAAAGTGACTCCCTCTCCTCTGAAGTACAAACTTGCTAAATCCCACCCCTTCTCCATAATGCATTGAGTGAAATGAAACAGACAGCTTCCTCTGTATAGATAAACCTATACCTAAGACTTTTCTAAATATACCAATTTATTATCTTTTAACTCTGTCACACAAAAATAACCCATCTATATGTATATAATCATAATAACCAAACATCTATCTTCCAAAAACCTATCTTAGTATATAATATAAATGACCAATTATCCTTGACTTAAAAGTAATTATGAACAAAAGGCTGATATTATTACTGTAAAGAATTAAAGATAATGGAGAAACGGACCCAAAGCAGCTGTAATGGGTTTTTGATGTAGGCCACATTAATGTAAAACAGGGTTTAAAGTCCAGGCGGGGTTAAGAAATGAGAACAAGAATATTGTAGTGCTGCAACGATAAGTAAGTACTCGATAAGTTGTCAGCTATTAAATAAATTAAACTAATTTGCCAATTGAGTAATCATTTTGAGTAATTTTTTAAGAAAAAAAATCAGCTTCTTTAATTGGAAAATCTTCTGGTTCCTTTTTTTCCTTTATGACTGGAAACTGAATATCTTTCTGTAGTGGACAAAATGACATTTGAGGACGTCATTTTGGACTCTGGGAAACACTGATCTGCATTTTCTGACATTTAATAAACTGTACAACTGACTCATTAATTGAGAAACTAATGTACAGATTAATGGACAGTGAAGATAATGGTTAGTTTCAGCCCTGGACTGTTGCAGAATGGACCCATGAATGATTTGCTTGGTGATAATTCAACATCTGATACTGTAGCATAATTTTTTTGACTAACTGCCTGTGGGTTCTCACTAAAGATACTTGAACAAAAGACCATTTTGCATGATGTTTATCAGTATTGTGTGTACACGAGAGCTTAACAGCCAGTGGCTTTTCCCTGTTTATTTCACACAAATGTGTGCAATTACACATATTAGTAATGCAAATGTTTAACAAAGTGCCTTCTTTCTGTTCTTCTCCCTCGTGTTTATCGTATGATTCATCTGGCCTCTGCTCTGTGGTGCTCCTGTCCCTCCTCTTCAACAACTGCAATTGGCTTTTGTAAGGTAAGGAGCCAGCTTGTCTGCTTCTCACACAGACACTACATCCAGTGCACATAAACCCCAGGCTGATTGGTGCAAACACACACGCCCGCATGTGCAAGCAAGTGCACCAAACTTGCGCGACCTCTTATCGCAACATCAGGCTGACCCCGTAGTTAGCAGCTCTGAAAATGTAAAGAACGGTGCTTGTGTTAGCAGCGGTGCCAGTCTGGCACAGCTCATGTCTGAGCACGGGCAGAAGAGTAAGGCGACGGGAGGAGTTGACGTAGGACGAGGTTTGTGTGTGCCCTCATTAAGTGCTCTCACCGTAGGATCTCATTCACCTCCGTCCATTCTGTCCAATCAGAGTAGTCTTTCACTTGGAACGCTGGCGTCTTTAAACATGACTTCAACATCTCCTGGCTCAGCCCCCACCCTCCTCTCAGTTTCACTCAGTAGTCTGTCGCTCAACAACCCCAAGATGACAACTGTAACCTCCTCTCTGGCTGCTCCTCCTGGGTTTGGGAGTCTCAGTTCTGTCGTCTTGAGCAATCAGCGCCCAGTGGGAGTTGCGACTGGAGGCAAAGCCACAATGGCCGATCCTAAGGGAAGCCCATCACTGGCTGATTTAATCCAGGAACATTCAAACCGCAGCCCAACTATCAGTAACTCCTTTCCTACTCCCCAAAGCAGCATAACTTCTGTGACGTGTCAGGGGATGGCGGCACCAGCACAAACATTCTTGCTGTCTGCTCTCGCTTCACAGCACCAAAACAGGAATATGCACATTCAGTCTCAATCACAGAGCACTGGACAACCAGCAAACACACTCAAGTTTCCTCAACCAACCAACAGTGCTCCTGCATGCCTAGGTGGGACTGTGCCACTGTCTCAGCTAGCCCTGCAGCATCAAACCAACAGCTCCTTCACTTCCCCTCAACCCGTGAGTGCAAAATCTCCAGCAAGTGCACTGAAGCAACCACCTGGCATCTCTGAGCTGCTCTCTTTGTCACATTTGGCATCTGAACACAAAGACAAAACCTCAACCACCTCAAATGGGTCACAGTACTCCCTCACCTCGCTCCTTTCACCAGCAAAACCAGAGAGGGCTGGTGTGTTAGCACAGGGTGCTACAGAGGGTGGGACCAAGCGTATGCTCAACCACAAACCATACCACCAAAACATCAGGCCATCCAAGCAGAAGCAGACTATTGATTTGAGCGCACTCATGGCCCAGTCGGATGGAGCAGCCCCTCGTCACTTTGACAACGACCTTCCCTCACCGTCCTCTCCAACTTCTGTTTCCATGGGGCTGGACTCTTCGGTGTTTGCACAGCCGTCAGTTTTTGCAATTACTCTGTCAGTTCCGAGCCGCAAACATCAGAAACGGGTGAGAAACATTTTGAAGAGAACAGTAAGGGATAAGAGGACAGGAAATGGTTTCCAGGACTTCCTGTGGAAATCGCAGGACAAATCTGAAGCGCAGCATATCCCGCTCTCACCAATTGCTCCGTTCTGCTTCGACACGCCCTCACCTGATGACATCGTCCGTGCTAATCAGCGAAAAGCTTTCACCAGGTAGACAAGAGGAAACAAGTCTTACTTAAAG